TGAGCAATGTAAATAATTTTTCTGAAGTCCTCCCATTTTGTTGGTTCTAAACTCTGCAACCTAAACAAACAATATGTTATGCTTCTGTCTTCTCCAGTGGGGAAAAAAAAAAAAGTTCTTCCTTGTAGTTAAGGATGAATATTAAAAAAGGAACTTGGGGAAAGTGGACCTGCTTAAACTTTTTTGCCTTTCATTTTTTTCTCTCCCACTTCTGGCCCCTTAAATGGCTCTGCTCTGATAAGCTACATGATGCAGATGTGTGGGAGGGTATGCTGTACCCCAACATGGGCCAGGAGAGACAGAAGGGATGTGCATAGGTGATCCCCTCCCTCCAGCCTTTTGTTTTTCAGTTAAACTTCAGAAGCTGATGTTCCACTTTGGAAACTCGATTTAAGTATGGGCTACTCTGCATGCTGTCTGACAATGGAGAGGATTCAAAGTAATAGGGCTTAAAACACCTTGGGTAGCCCCACAAAACGCTACCAGAGAGGCTGTCAGAGATGCTGGGGAATCATGGAGAAAAATGAGTGGTGTTAAGCATAATACATATTTTCAGGTCACTCGTCAATCTAAAATCTTTCAAAGCTTATTGGGACTCTTGGGATAAAGTCCCAAATCCTTGTTGTTGCTCTCAGGACCCTCCATGGACTAACTGTCTACTTCTCCAGCCACATCCAAGATGCCTCTCCTTCATGTCAGCGCCCCAGTCACTCTTCACTGTCATTCTTCAGATGTGACTGACTCTCCTGCTGAGTCCTTCCTCCTTAGAGGTTTTGTGCAAAGGGTTCTTCTGTCATGAACAGCTTTCTGCTGCAACCTTCACCCAGCCACAATTCCAACACGTTCTCCTCTGCTCCTCAAACTTGGTTAGTGCATTTTTTTTAACAGCACCTTTTATTTTCCTTTTCTGAGCACTTATCATCCTTCAGCAGCTTGTTCACTGAGTTTCCATTAGACCAGAAACGCCTTAGGGGCAGACACCATATCTTTCTCATTCATCCCACAAACGCCATGCCTATCCCAATGCCGACGGACTCCAGCCTCTTGAGAAACATCTGTTAAAGAACTAAAATGTCTCGATGCATTTAAAGATAATTCTCTGGGCTGACTGGGTGGTGCTACTAGAAATGTGAGAACTGAATGAGGCTCTTCCTGCCTCATCTCTTGCAAGTCCAGCTAGGAAGTGGGAGGTTGGAAGGGCAGGCATTATAGATGTGGATTCTGGGTGAGGAATCTCAGCCAGGGAGTCAGGCCAGGACTCTCGCTGTGACATAGGAACATTTTCAAGGGAAGTGACCCTCTGCTGGAACTCCTCGGTTCCAAGGTGGTCATTAACTTGGAATTGTTATGCAGTGTGAATAATTTGCCTGTGGAAAAAATTTAGCACCAACAGTAGTGCTACTTTTGCCATTAAATTTCAACTGGAATCCTGACTCATCTCAGCCAGACTCAATTCAAACTGTGCCATTTCTGTAACATTAAAATATAACCTATAGCCACACCAGCAAAGCCCACCACTTAACAGAGAGAGGACCTTGGTACTTTCAAGGAAGGACCAATGGGAACCAGAGAAATCTAGAAACCGCCCCCCGACCCGGCACCCGACAAAACGCTGACTTGGGGAAAAATGTAGCTTGAATCCATGGGGATTGAGCCTCTATATCCTAATGGATTTAGTCTTCCAGGTTCATGCCATTTGGTCAATCTTCTCTAAATCATTCATTCACTCATTGAGTCACCATTTGAGTGCCTACTATATACTACCCCAAGGACCAGTAATCAAAGTGAAATAACTGCTTCTATCCACAAATGCTTATTGTCTACTTGGAAAGACAGATATGGGGAAAATAAGCAGAACAAAGTCCTAGAGGAATGACAACATAACTTACAAATTCCAAGTGATACATCCAGCTGCTGCAGAAAAACATACCCTTAGAACTCAGGTGCAAACCCCTCTAAGTAAAGGCCTAAACCATCAGTTATCCTTTCTTTTTTTTTTTTTTTTTTTTACTTTTGGCACTTACTGTAGCTCAAGAGTTTTCAGTTTCCTACATAACCTCAGCTCGCGAGGAGTGTCCACTACTCCAAATTAGCAAGTAAAAATGCTACAAAATCATAACTCCATTCATTACAGCAAATGCTGTGACCTTTTAAAATAAGTACCTTACCTAGAAACTGAGCATTCTTACTATTTTCAGAGTTCTTAGCAAATTATTTAATGCTATTTAAAGAAATGGTTTACATGACACCATTTCATGCCAATTCTGTTTCAGTGACTATAATCTCAGTGCTTTTATTTGAAAGAATCTATTCATAAGATTTCGACTTGACTTCTGTTAACAGGAGGCATTCAGATGGAGTTTATCTAGAATAGATTCCAGCTACATTACTGACAATGATATTTTAATGATAATTTTATGAGGCATTCACTTACTTGTATAATTCTATCCAGATGACCATAATGAGCGGGACATAGATAAGCAAATGTTTTAGATGGGCTCTAAATTACGGAATAGTGCAGGTCCTACTAGAAAGAAACATTGTCTTTTTTGTTTTGCTTGGC